GGGAGCCGAGGAAACGAGATGAGGACTCGAGAAACGGGTGCCGCGCGAGTAGACGTCGAGGCAGACAGAAGAATATACAATCAGCGTGATTGTTTGACACCCCATAATCAGCATGCTTACCCCCGGCCGCTCGAGGGCTTCTCTCCGTCTCTCCTGTCCTCTCTATTTTCGCCGTCTCGTTTCAACTAGCCGGCGGCGGCTTGGTTCCTTCAATCCTTCCGCGGCACCTCTTTTCAGGTACTCCGTTTTGCCACTGCCACGCTGGGGAGAGCCTCATTACCCCGATCACGACTCGAAATGAGAGACTCTTCAGGGGAAGAGGACGGTTACATTACGAGAGACAGAGGGATAATGCGCGATTCCCTTTTTTCTTCACCTGCAAGGACCTTCAGCTCGTCATTCCTTTTCTTGAATTACTCTCCCCCCCTCTTTCTCTCTCTTAGTGGACACGAGTTATTGCGATACTACCTAGGGTAATTTTCAAAACCTCTGGTATTTTAAAATACAATAATTCCAAAAGGAACTCGTGAAATTGAACTTGAAGAGATAATAAAATTAATATCGAGGAAGTATTTTTAGATCAAATGCTAAATAGAATACATTCTGTAAGACAGAAGAGTCCGGGACTATCTTTTTGGGAGGGGACTTGAATTACATGCACACGATGAGTGCAGGGCCGAGTCAAGGATCAATGATCATGTAGGTGAGATTTCGAGAGCAATCACGGGTCGAATAGACCGGTGGCGGGCCGGAGAGACGAAGGGTGAGCGACGAAGGCGAAGAAGAAGATTACGAAGAAGATGACGATGAGGAAGAGGGGGAGGATAGGTTCGATTCAACAACGTCTGGCATCGCAAGCGAACCGAAGCCCAAGACAAAAGGAGGAGCGCCGCAGAGCCCGGCAGCGAACGGCAAAAACAACATGGATCCAGCAGATCGAGAAGCGATCGAGAAGCGATCGATCGATCCCTGGTATTACGCAGACGTGCACGTGAGTGGTACGTGAGCGGTTCTCGTGTACACCGGCGAGTCTAACTTCAGAAGGCAATTCTCTCTCTCTCTCTCTCTCTCTTTCTCTCACTCTAGCTCTCTCGCCTCGTGGCCTTACCTCGAAAACGCGGAGAGATAGAACGAAGAAAATTGCATCGCAGCTAGCGTCTTGCTCATTTCGCACTCGCTCGGCTCATTCGTACGTGTGCCCCGGCCTCGGATCTGCTCATTATCCGCGCAGAACAAGAAACGGGGCGAAGATATGAATGACCAGCTGGTAAATGAATCATTTCGCCTCGGCCATTTCCATTCATCTGATAGGTGCGAAAACCGGAAACGAATACCCTTGAAATGGGCAGAACGATTTGCGGGGAACGAATGAGAATCAGACCACGTTTTAAATAAATTCAAAATATGTATAAGAGTTCTCCAGCTTAAAAAATTCTTTCAACATGAATCCGTTCAAAAATTACACTCAAAGTAACGTAGTAAATGACCCAATTTCTGTTTAAGTAAGAATTCGGTTCTTTTTCTATAATTTTATATATAATCTTAAATCAACCAATAGAAATCGTAAGCGTGAACAGAAATTAACAGACTTATTCTATAACATGAAAAATCAATTGTTTAACAAATCTGTGCATCGTATCAGTTTCCAGTGTCGCGTTAAAGGAAATGCGGGGGCCTCTTACGTTAACCAAAGAAGAAAGGAGGCGGTAACTTTGCCCCGTTAGATGACGTAATTACAATAGTGGCCGATCCGGGGAAGGTGACACGGGTGCAGCAAAGTTGGTCCGGAAGGTAGCGCGGGTCTGATCGATGGAGAAGGTGCTGGAGGTCGAAGAGGGTGGCAGCGTTGCGGAGGGCGGCTGGGTACGGGGAAGGGGGGGGGAGGTGAGGAGGAGATTAGGGCAAAGAGAAACCACAACGTAGCTTCAAAGAGGTCTTGCCAAGCCAGGGGCGCGTCTACTTAACTTTGATCAGCCCGAGACCGCCGATGCGAGACGAGCCACGCAGAAATAAAGTGGCTAGCGAGTTTCCCGCCACTTTTTTCTTACCATCTCGAATTATCGATTCCGAATACTTCCACTGTCCACCGAATTGTTCCCCCTACCATGCACCGTGCATCTATCAATCTCGTATTAATCATTTAGTACATTCCTATCACCATATCGATCTCAAACATCCTGACTCTTATTGCCCATTAAAAATACTAATAAACGTGAGCCATCTTTTGCTGTAAATGCTCGAAAATGTTGATCTTTCAATTCTAATCATGAATTTCTTGAGAGTCAGCGAATATGAGAAGAGAACGCTCTTGCTTTGTGCAGATATATTTCATTTCTCATTCTTCATCATGTAACAAGATTTGAAGTTATACATTCATACAAATTCTGTACATGTCCAATTCGAAATATGAAATAAAAAAGAACTATTGCAGAATAATTCATTTTTATAGGAGGACGTAAGTTTATTTCTCGCTGGAAAGAGAATCGGATTCCAGTTGAATACTTCGCAGTGGGCAGCAAGAAAGCAGGGAACACGGGGACAGGACACTTTTGCCTCGTGCTAGGAGAGATCCGAACGGTGAATCGCACGGCGAGACAGGGGAGGCAGAAGCGGGGAGGGAATCGCGACGAGAGAGAAGAGATGGAAACGGCAGGTTGAATGTCGTTATTACGTTGAATTAGAGGGTGCAGAGCCGGAACGAGGTATGAAACTATTACCTCGCGAAACGGCGGACGTGCCCCCCTCCCCTCTGTCCGTCTCCCCGTCCACCCGATTCCCTTTCCCTCGCCGGATCGAGGAGGGGGTGGGTGGGGTTTCAGCCTGTGCGTAGTTTCGAATCGCTCCACGAGCCACGAGGATGCTGAATCGTGAGTGGAAGATGATGATGCCCGGTGGAGAGTATCCGCTATCGCGCGAGACGAGAGGAGCAAACAGACCGGAAGACACGACCGAGCTCGTGCAGCGGCGAAAAAAAACCAGATGCGAGAGATCCCACGAAAATGGGGCCGTTAATTAATTAAATGGAATCGCTAATTGGAGCGACGGGGAGAATTATTTATCTCGGGAACGACTCGTGGAATCCCACGTTCTTTTGTTAAATTTCAGATCGAGAAATCAATTTTGATCAATCATCGTGTTATTAGAAAAAGGGAAGTGGTAATTTAAAAGAGTTGTTTCACTCAGTCCAAAGAAAAATCCATAGTTTTATCGAATCGTCAATACCGAAAGCAGCATTCACATATCTTAGTATTCAGTAAATTGCTTAAGGATGTATAGGCTATGCATATACTTAAACAATGCCAGCATGTTGAATTTGTTATTATAGATTCCTATTA